CATTGTTGACTGACTGACTCCCTCTTTTTATCAGCCTTGCTCACCATCCTTTAATTAGTCTATAAATACTAAGTATGGGTTTAAAACTGTTTGCATCGAATCCATCCAATTAGAAAATGTAGCCTGATGGACTGAACACAAGGTTGGGAGTCAAAAAGTCTCAAATTCCAATCCAGGCTCTGCCACAGACGTGATCTGGGGAAAAATCCCTTCTGTGATTTTGAACATGTCCCTCTAGGTTACGTAGAAAGGGCCTTAGATGCATTGGGCCAGGTTCACAAATGGATGTAGGTGTCACTGGCATTCACAAAACCACTGCTCAGCTGTCACCTAACTCTGGAGGCACCTAAATTCCTTAAGCACCTAATTTGTTTGCTGCAAAAGTCCCTGAGGCATCTAAGTTTCTGCTGCTGGGCATGTGCACTGCTGCCTCAGGCAGGTGCTCAGACACCAATCTGTTGCCTAAGCCTCAGCAGGATTCTCAAAATAGGCATTGCCCTACTTATCTTGCCTGCAAGGCTTGATCCAGTAGGTGTGCTAAGAGCTTGCCTGACTATACAAAATGTGAAGGAAGCAGGAGGACCTTTAGCCCAATGTGGATACTCACCCAAAATGTGGGAGACCCCAGTTTGTTTCTCCCAGCTGCCTGATGAGGAGAAGTATTTGAATATCGGTCTCTTAACCTCCTAGGTGGGTGCCCTAAGCAGTGGACTACGGAGTCATTCTCACATGCTCTCTGGCCCACTGCATATTTAATTATTTACACAAAGTGGAACAGCTTTGACAGGAGGGGAGAAACCCACATCAGAAGAGCCCATAGCCCAGTGGTTGGGGCACTCATCTGTACAGTGGGAGACCCCCCCTGTTCAAATCCTATCCCCTCATCAGGCACAGGGAGGAATTGAACAGGGGTCTCCCACATCCTCAGTGAGTAACCTAACCAGTGGCTTAAAGGTTAAAGGGGAGGCCATCCTTGCTCCCCAGCTCTTGGTAGAGTTGGGTTTACCACTGCCTTTCTTGCAAGAAATGGCTTATGTACCTGACTCCAGGAGAGCATTGCTGGCTGTGAATCCCGAGCAGAGCTGAGCACCTCCCGTCCGCTCCAGGCACTTAACTGTCTTTGAGAGACGTGGCTTAGGACACACCCATCTCCTTGGTATTGGCTATGGGCTAGCTCAGGTGGCTCTCCACTCTGACTTTTTGTGGATCCCATTCTAAGGTGTCTAACTCACCTCATGTATTGTATAGGGAGCCTGGGCACCTAGATCTGGGTTTGTGAGTTCCACTGCGTGCCTAAAAGTTAGGCACTGCAATGCTGAGCTTTGCTTTCCCCTTGTGAATCTGGCCCTAAGTCAGTTTTGAAAATGGGGGTCAGGCTTCTCAAGTCCCATAGACTATTCCGAAAATCTTACCTTTAATCTTTCTGCCTCAGTTTCCCTACCAGTTACATGGAAATAGTAATTTGGGGATTACAAGGTCCTTTGAATATTTAAGACACTATATAAATACAAATTGTTGTTATCCTGTTTCCAACAATGCTTCAGAGGAGAGCACAGGAAAAGTTGTCAGTGGGTTTATGAGGAAAGTTTCTTCCTATCTCCATCAGTTGTAGGAGGGCTTATTGCCTGAGAATTAAACTGTTTTAAATTATTTTGGGGGGTGTTGCTGCTTTTAATCCCTGTCATTGTAACTCTGCATATTCACCCAATCTTTTTTGGACTTGGCCGCCAGGATATTTTGTGGTAGTGAGTTCCAAAGGCTATTTGTGCACTGTGTGAAAATGTTTTTTTCCTTTTATCAGTCTTTCAGCAGTCTAGATACAAGTACCAGTGTGTACAGAGACCACATTGACAATGGAAAGCCATCTAGGTAAAATACATAGTTGCAACTAGACTCCATGTTGGATCTGTACTGCGGCTCTCTGGAATTTGGCTTCATTAAAGTCTTCAAGGATCTGACATCAGTTCACATGTTTGCAGTGTAGTTGTAGCTGGGATAGTCCCAGGACATTAGACAGACAAGGTAGGTGAGGTAATATTTTATTGGACCAATTTTTGAGAGTGAAAGCCACACTTTTGAGCTTACGCAGCGCTCTTCTTTAGGTCTGGGAAAGGTACTCAGAGTGTCAAAGCTAAATACAAGGTGGAACAGATTGTTGAACATAAGAGTTATGCATGTTTTAAGAGACCATTCAAGTTGAAGAGGGCAGTTAACACCTCTGCAGGTGAAAGGAGAGTTAGACCATATCTACACTACAGAGTTAAGTCGACTTAAGTTATGTCAGTGATCGTAAGTCACTTTAATGACATTGATGGAGCACGTCCACACAATGCTCCTTGTGTCAGCAGAGCACATCCACAGTTGTTGCTCTTGCACAGTGCAATTTCCCATCCTCTGCCGCTGGGAGTTCTGGGAACGGATCGCAGTGCATCTGTCCCATCATTCCATGGGCTTCCTACTTTGTTTCATGCCGTTTTTCAGCAGCCCTTGTAAACTGTGTGCCTGCCATCTCTGCCTCACAGCATGGATCCTGAGCTGCTGACCATTCTGAACACAATGCGGCTGCTCTTGCAGTATTTCATGAGCTGTAAAATAGTTACTTGGTGATGTCTGCCATGGAAACAAGTAATTCAAGATTTCTGCTGGCATTCATGGGACAGCTTGCCATGGTGGACCATTGGTACTGGGCTCAGGAAACAAGCACTGTGTGGTGGGATTGCACTGCGATGCAGGTATGGGATGACGAGCAGTGGCTGCAGAACTTTTGGATGTGCAAAGCCACCTTCCTGGAAATGTGTGCGGAGCTCACCCCAGCACTGCGACACAAGGACACCAGAATGAAAGCTGCCCTTGCAGCGGAAAAGTGAGTGGTGATCGCTGTGTGGAAGTTGGCAACTTCATACTGCTACTAGTCAGTTGCAAATCAGTTTGGAGTTGGAAAGTCCACCATGGGGGCTGCAGTGATGCAAAAGTGTAGGGCCGTTAATGGCCTCATGCTACAAAGGACTGTGACTCTCAGTAATGTCCAGGAGATAATTGATAGCTTTGCAGCAATGGGATTCCCTTGCTGTGGCGGGTGATAAATGGAATGCACATCCCTATTTTGGCCTCCAAAAATCTTATGACGGAATACATCAAATGAAAGGGCTACTTCTCCATGGTCTTGCAGGCACTGGTGGATCACTGGGGCAGTTTCACTGATATCAAAGCAAAGTCATCAGGGAAGGTGCATGATGCATGCATCTTTCGGAACACTGGACTGTATAAAAAGCTGCACACTGGAACTTTCTTTCCACACCAGAAGATTCCACTGGGGGATGTGCAGATGCCCATAGTGATCCTTGGAGACCTTGCATACTCCTTGCTCCCCTGGCTCATGAAGCCTTACATGGGGAACCTAGCCGTTGAATGTGCCTTTGGCTGATTATAAGATCGCTGACGTGGTCTTTTTGGCTGGTTAGACCTCCGTGAGGAAAATATTCCTATTGTCATTGTGGCCAGCTGTACTCTCCATAATATTTGCAAATCAGGGGTGGACCATTGAGGCTGATCGGCTGGCTGCTGATTTTGAGTGGCCAGATACAAAGGCAATTAGAGGGGTGCAGCTGAAGGCTACTCAAATCAGGGAGGCTTTGAAGGAGCATTTTGACAATGATTCACAGTAATGTTACTGTATGTGATGCATTCAGCCAGGCAATGTTTACTTGCCACCATGAATTACCCCATAGTGCTTGCTTCCTGAGCGTTAATTGCAAGGAGCAAATATTCCTACCTATAGCCATTGTGTTTTAATGTTAGTACTAAGCAATGTGTATATGTCACAGATAAAGACTCATTTTATTTCAAGAGACTCAAGTTTAATAATGGGATAAAACACGAACTTTTGGTCAAACAGGGGACATGAAAATGAGGAACAGTCTCGCAGTTAGGGCTCTCACTGCTGGGTGTAACTCCAGCTTTAGTAGGAAAACCGGTCTCCAGGTGTGGAGTGCACGGGGTACTCTGAGGGACGGGGAACACGTGAGGAATGTGGTGGGGGAGTTTGGGGTGGGCATAGACTAGAGTTCTGTAGTGGCTGGAGGGGGAGCCAAGCACAGATATGCTCAGATTGCAGACTAATGAGGGACTTGAACATCTCTATCTGGCCCTCTGGGAGCTTTATCATCCATTCCTGGCCCTGCGTCCTTTCCAGGCTATCCAGCCTGAGTCTTTCCTTAATTGTCTCCCTCCAATCTCTTGTTTTGCTATGTGCTGCATCTGTTGACTGAAGCACTTTGCAAAACATATCCTCCTTATTCCTCCTGGTTCTCTGCCTTATCTGATGGAGATGCTCCACCGGTGTGGGGGAGTGGGTTCTCAAGGGCACATCTGCAGAAACCAAAGAAACAATGAACAGAGACAGTACTGTGAGTGCACTCACAGCCGTGAATCACAAAAACTACACACACCTCTTTCTCACTGTCCCTTGGCTACCACACAGGTCAGCACGAGTCCCAGTTATGGTGAGTTCCTGGGGAGGGAGGGATGGGCAAGAAGGGACAAAGGAAGGTTTGCGAAGGGAATTACTATAAGTGACTGGGGAGCCTAGTCTGAATTTTGGTACCCTTTTCCACAGGGTAATTGAACCCCACGTCTGACTCCAAAGGGTAACCCAGGCTGCATCTTTTGCATGTGTGTGGCTTCAGACTGGCTCTGTATACCACTCACTAATGTGTCGCTCTGGTGTCTGCAGAAATAATTGCTGGGTGGTGAGGCAAAGTTTCCTACAGCAGGGGGAGAAACAAGGCAGGTCTCCCAAAGAACCTTCGGCAGAGGACTACAGACTATCTGCAGGAAAATTTTCTAGAGATCACTATGAAGGATTCCAGGGATGTACCCGTGTATATTAACAAACTTGTCCACCGTGGCCCCACCACGTAGATGGAGTTAATTTCTGCCCCTTGCCCCTCCTGTACCATATAACAACATACATAAGAGCCCCATCTTCTCTCAAAGTGCAGTATGAAAGCAAAATGAGCACTTACTGGAGCGCCTCTCTTCTGCATTCTGAGCGTCAGGCCTGTAGTGCGGGGACTGACGAGACCTCTCTGGAGTGGAAAAGCGGTCCCGACTCACTGCGCCACCGGACGACCCTGCCGTGTGCTCCACTTCATACTCCAGCTCCACCTCCTCATCGGCGTTGAGGCTGCTGGTTGCTGCCTCCAGTCCCCCCGAGGTATCCTGGGGGCTCTTGGTGGTGGGGTTGCTGCCGAGGATGGCGTGCAGTTCCTTTTAGAGGCAGCATGTCTTTGGCGACGCACCACAATGATTGGCCTCCCTTGCCTTCTGGTTTGCCTGCCTCAGCTCCTTGACTTTTAGCATGATACTGCTGTGTCCCCCTTCTCCTGCATGCCACTAGCAATTAGCCTGTATGTACTGGAATTCCTATGGATGGTGCAAAACCACGACTGCACAACCTCCTCCCCGTATACTCAGCAGATCCAATAGCTCCGGCATATTCCACGTGGGAGTGCATCTGCTGTGTAAAACCGGCATGATCAGCTGGGATGATGCTGTGTGAACTGTGCATGTAGAGCAAACGGACACGGGAGGGGTGCATACCTGTGTGCCATCAGGGCAGCTGAGTTCACACCGCTGACCAGAGTGGTGGGCATTGTGGGACACCTCCTGGGGGCCAATTAGGGTGACATAAGCTAGTGAGGTGTCTACACTGAAGCTGCATTACTATAACTATGTTGCAAAAAGCTCTGTGCTGCTCAGTGAAGTGGTTTTATTATGTCAGCATAGCAGGGGAATTACATTGGCAGGAGGAGCATTTTAATGTGTACACCTTCACTGTTTTATCGTTTAAAAACTGATTTTTGTAGACACAAATGTGTAGTGTAGACAAGGCCTTCTCCGCCTTGAGCAGAAACCCACTCACTGGCTGATTGATTTCCTGTTTACAGTCTCTTCAAAGGCCCAAAGTGGAGTTATGAACTTGAAGCCACAGAAGAACCCCTGTGTGGCATGTGAAGGAGTGCTCACCCGCCAGAGCCCCTTTTGGAGTTGGGAGTGATCTCTGGTAAGCTTATTAGCATGCCTTGTTTTTAATTCTTTGTTGCTGTAATGCTTCAAATGTGTGTTTGCTTAGAAAGAGCTGCGTGGGAACAATGGTTGGTGATTACTCTGTTACTAGTCTCTGAAGAGAAAGCAAAGTGCAGATACTGGCCATTTAGGCAGTCTGCCTTGCTGGGGATATGGAACTGTTCAGTCTGAAAATACTCTGGTCAGAAGGGAGAGAGATGCATCTCCACCCAGGAGATGCAATGGCTGGGGAGCTGGAAGCTAGGCGCCCATACTAGACCATAGGGGGGGATACAGGTGCAGTTGCCCTGAACCGAGAGAGAGACAGTTCTAAGAAGGGTGTGAGCGTTCCGTGCCAAGAGAAGCGGCAGTAAATTCTGCTCTTCATAGAAGAAAATGACATCAGAACAGATTTGACTAGAATGGTGTGAATTAAAGCATGAATACAAGCAGACATAAGGCAACTGTGGTAAATCCAGCATTGGAGTCCTAATGGTAATGCATATCAAATGATCATTTATGCATGTAGGGAAAATTTCCAAAACAGTCATATCCTGGGATGTAGCTGGTAAATATTTGTAACGTAACCCCATGGAACTGGCAAAGAAAGAGAGGGGGCTGGGAGCATGTTGAGACAAACATTTAGTTTGTGGCAAACTGGAAGTGTGAATCTACTCCGCCCTAGCCTGCTGTACACTAACTAGCCATGTGGATCTCTTCTGGTACAAAAAACACACAGATCTCTCAAGTAACTACACCAACGCATTCCAAAGAGATGTAAAAGAACATGTGGACCCTTCAAAGATAAGGAGGGGTTGACAGGATAACAGTTAAGGATGTTTTGTTCAAACTAGCAGGTTCAAGGCTTAGGGTGATAACTAACAACATTTGGAGTGTAATATGTAACTTGTTTACATCGATGTGTAAAAGGAGCAGTCATAGGAGGGGCAGCTTTGTGCTGGTCTAGGGGACAGTGTCATGTTATGCTGATTGAAACGGCACCACTGTCGCAGGTGTACTTGTGTTAGTCTACCTGTGGGTCCTATGGGGCCTTTGCCACTGAACCAAGCCTGTGGTCTTTCTTTACGAACATCACTGGGGTCCGCTGAATCAGTATGCTGCACGCTCTGTTCGCTAGCCGCGTTAACAACTTAGCAGTCTTAACAACACTTTGCAGCACTAACATCACCCATCGGCAGAAATATAGGTGCACAGGGGACTTTACTAGCAGAAACTTAGGCACCAATAGGTTAGGCAGCTGCTGAGTAGGGTTCATGAGGATCTACATTTTGGATTTATGTGCCTAAATCCCTTTATGAAGCTAGCCCAGTATTCATAACCTTTAAAATAACTGAAATAAGAATCCCTTGAACAAATAAGAAGTGGTATGAGTATGTTTATAGTATGGGCACCTTTACAAGAATTTATGGTAGATACTTTACACTGTGCACTTCATTTTGAAACAGGGATATCATGAAACTTGTATAAATTGATCACACTGATGAGTATTGTATTTATTTTTACGTTTTTATTAGAGAAGTTGAAAGTTTCATCTCAGAACTGACCATAACAATCTCTCTTCATTTAATTTGTTTATAGGAATATGTAGAATTGGTTTGTACAAGCATATACAACAACTTAATTGGTGCTTAGTATAATGAAATCAGTAATCTGATTTGTTCTAAACTACCAGTTTTCCATGCAGTCTCCTTTGTATTGGCAGCATGGGCAAACTCCAAGCAGAATGCTTACATGCATTGTTCTGCAGTATAACTACAGTAGGCTTTAAGAACATGCAAATTAACACTGTAGCAAATTGTTTTCATATCTAACAGACATAAAAAGGTTATTCCTGATATGAAATTCTGAAAATCTGCATAAATATTTTTGTGTAAAATTAAATTAGTTATGTACTTTTCTTTTAACTAGAACTTGAAGTATCAAGAATGCCCACATAATTCATATACATATATATATATATAGGTCTTGTTATGCTAAAAGTCTTCAGAATTAATCAAATAATATTTGGTGACATACGTTTAATCTGTATTTATTGACTAATAGAATGACTGTGGTCATACGGTTGGCATTAAAGTCATAACTGGTGATTGTATCACATGCAGACATATTTCTAGTAATTCAGTTTACTAATTTTGTCACGTGGCAACATTTAGGTGATTTTCTACAATATTGTGATTTGAAGTGTATAAATACTTTTTACATTTTCACAGTTACAAACTTTTTGCCAATAGTCATTTAACAATCTTTAAGATACAATGAACTATAATATCTGGGATCTGCAGCAACAAGATCAAAATGCAATTTCTATACAAGCAATGGATGATGTAAACTTTTCTTAAAGTGCCTAACACATAATTCCTTTAACCTTAGAGCACTGATTAGTTTTGGCACAGAACAATGTATTTCTACTATGTTTACCATTTCAAGAACTTTTACAGGATGTCTGTTTCTTTCAGGAATGATAAAGTTGATATGGCACTTGTTGAAGACATTTTAATGTGGAAATATCTTGCAAAATCACTGTTATCCCAGTGTATTAATTCTGCTGATGAGTTTACAGATATTTGTACTTTCCAATATATGCATTCTCTGCAGCTCAAAAATGTGTGCGCAATAGGAAGAAAATCACCAAAAGAGACATCTGTCAGATGAAGCGGATGATTTTTTAAATTATTATTTAGTAGCAGATCCATGTAAAAGGCTTGATGGCAGGAGTTGCTGAGTGCCTCCTACCTCACAGCATCTTGCAGGATTGGGGCTAAACCAATTACATACCAAGCATGAGAATAAAAATGGTAAATAGCATGTTGTTTTGATTATGATTGTGTTCCCATCTGAGCTTATGTTAAAATAAAAGAAACATGGTGCTGTATTTTAAGGCCCTGAGCCTACAATCCTGACACAGGAAAAAACACCCCTTGAGATGAATGGAAGGTTTCCTGAGCAGGGAGTACAGGACTGGGCTTTAAGATGTTATGTGCCTCTTTTTAATAGTGTTTTGCTCAATAAGGGAATTTCAGTACTCAAAAGGAATATGCAAAACCTTAAGACGTGGTGGTCTGTGTCTACAGTTGGTTGAAACAGAATGGAAAAGAGCAAAAAAGCCCACTTTCCCTCCTCAGCAATGATGGTTGGAATTTTACGGATACTGGCTTTCCTGGCTTCAGTTTGCATGCTGTAGTTTTAGACTACTGTTGCTGGCCTGCGGTCCATCTCTGCTTCCAGCTTCACCATCTGCTGCATCTCCTTTGCCTGTAACCCAAAACAATCATGTTGTTTCATCATAGAGTATCATACTAAAAGCTTGTGTTCAAAATCAAATACATTTTCAGCACAATAGTATCTGAGTGGAATATATGTAATGAACGCTGGAGGGACGTGACCATTCTCCCCCTCTCAGAAAAAATCTGCATATTTTCAAACATGGCTGTTGTTTTTCTGCTGGTACTTATAAGTTACAAAATACAAGGCAACATTCCTAGGATTTATGGGCCACTTTTCAAAGACACACATGATAAAATGTATCTGAAAGCCTCACATTGTATGGAGGAAAATCATGCTGTTTCTGACTGAACTGCCTCTGGAAATGGAACAATGGCTTGGAGACACACTGTATCAGCCCTGGCTGAGTTTGGACTGGTGTTGCTTGGGAAACTAAGGGTTATGACCTGTCATCTGGACCCATTTTCTGCTGGCCAATGAAAGACAATGACTGGTGTGAATGATTATTGGACTTACTAATGGCAGAGATTGTTGACCTCTTCCTTAAGGTGGCCAAGATGGCTTCATCTAGCTTAGTGATTTTAGCTGTTTATTTTGGCTGTACCCCTTGCTCCTGGCATCCAGGCTTTTGTTGCCTCAAGATTAGGCTACTGCAATGTGCTCTACATGGGGCTTCACCTTGAATCCACCTGGAAACTGATGCTGGCACAGATTGTAGTAGCCCACTCATTAAGCAATATATTTCAATACACATTCTTGGTTTGTAAATAGAGTTAAAGGTGTTATTCATACCCTCTAATGCCCTAAATTGCTTGGGACCTACTGACTTGAGAGGCTACCCCCTGTCCTCATGTGGTACTGCCAAAAGTTGAGTTTCGAGATGCTTGGGTTAGAAACCCCTCAGTTCACAGTGTGGGGGGAGGCACCTACACCTGTGCATTTTCCACGAGGGGCCTTCAATTTCAGAAGTCACTTATCATCCTGCTCCAAAATCACCTGCATATGCTGTCCAGTCTATCTTTACAGCCAGCCTTCTGAGGATAGGGGATGTCTTAAGATTGAAAATACCATTGTGTCTCCCACCTGCCAATCTTTTCCCCAGTGTGAGTGGCCACTCTGCTTTTGCTATACAGGGAGGAGTGGTCGCTGGATTTGCCTTACTATGTGAATTGTGTATTCTGATAAGTTGTAAAGGTGCCTACCACATGGGATAGGCATTTTTTATCTAAATCAATAAAGAAGCTCCTACTCAGGGAGTTACATACTCTGTGCATGCAAACAGGTATTTCCAGATGTAAAACTGGGCAAATGAAGGTCCAAAAAAGTCATTTAGATGCACACTTATTTTGCAAAGTAAATGTGGGTTTGTATAGGAGCTATAGATGTACCCCTTTCTGAAGAGTTAGCTCTGTGCATTTTACCATCACATTTGTATACTCAGCTAATTATGATAATACCAAAGGCAACTGTATTATGAATGCATTTAAATCCTACTTTACCTTCCTATGACTTTAAAGTTTGAAATAAATGAAGAAATAATTTTTAAATGAAAATATGGAAACATAACATTAATAAATCCATGTGTACAGCCTTTTCTGAAATACTAGAACTGACTTGCTGTGTTCACTCAGTGTGTGAATTCTGCAAGTGAGAATGAAATTCCACCTAAAATGCAAACTCTTTGACACAGCTTGTATTTATTTCTCAGTAACTGAAGTGATTGTGGTCTCCAATACCCTAATACCTGAGCGCCTCACAATCTTCATCCTCCCAACATCCCAGTGAGGAGGGAAGTAATGGTATCCCCATTTTACAGACGGCGAACTGATGCACTGAGAGACTAAGGGCTTTTCTACATGAACATACAGTTCACAGAAAGCTGTGGTGTGAATCTACCCACACTAGCCTGCCATGGACTAAGTGTCTATGTGGACCCTGCTGATGCACTTTAGTTCATTTCAAATAGGACTAGATCAAAGCACATTAATGAATTGTTAATAGGTTTCAGCAGGGTAGTTTCACACCCCAGCTTGCCACAAACCAAATGATCATGTAGACAGGCCAGAGGTGACTTGTCCTTGCCCATGGTCACACAGGAAGTCTCAGGCACAGCAGAGACTTGAACCCAAGGCTCTCAAGTCTTAAGCCAGTGGTTTTACCACTGGACCATCCTGTATCTCATGAGCAAAGCCCTGTAACTGTTTTGCAGATTAGTTTAGCCAGAAGGGCGTAACTGTAAAGTGAATTTAGTTCAGAATAATCCTACACCATATGGCCAAGCGGCCTGTTTTTATCAACTGATGGTCAGCCACTGCATTCTGAAGTGAACACATGAACAGGATAATTATAGATGAGCTTTGTGGAGGAAGTAAGTACTTGGAGTCAATACGAATCCACCTAGTTAATGGGACCTATGCGTTCAATCCTGCAAGACGCTGTGTGCCCTCATCTTCAATGGGATTTGAGGGCACTCAGTACCTCACAGGACTGAGTGCATCAAGGATAGAGTGCTGGCTGCCAGCCAAATTAATTCTTTGTGTAAATATCTATCTCTAACTCAGTATAGTTACAGTAGATGTGGGTAGACTGGGTTTGAGGATGGGATCCCAGTAAATTATCGACTGAAGATTTAAGCAGGTCACTAAATTCAGGCAAAATTCCACAACTGGATGTTTAAACCTAACACAAATATTTTACTGCTGTTGAGAGAAGGGGTTAATATGAATGATGGTTATTAGGAAGCTATAACAGGAAAGCTACAATAGTGTGATTAACAGATTCACAATAGCTGGAAGCCTCTTTTCTTTAGCCACTAAAAAGCTACATATATTTCTAGCTATTTTTAGTGTGGCATTACTTTTATTATTCTTATGCTAATATATGTGGAAAATCTGGCTTTGTCGCTCTGTCAGCATTAGCAGTTAGTCATATATATGTTAACACTAAAATAGTATCCTTAATCAGTAGATGCTTCTTAAAATTTCAAGCATGTCTTTCTTTAACTATAGATAATATAACAATACAAATCATTCTTTAAGTTTCCTGTCCTCGTTATTATAAGAATGTATCTGTGGGTCTGAGATGCTAAAGCATAAAATACTGTTACTATGTCAGACTCTAAATATTTAGTGTGCATAAATATTATTAAAGTGTGTTCATTATGTTAATAGTACTTCCCAGTGCTTGCATTTACAAAGAGTGCTCCAATGAGAATGATTTAATTTCGAAGAAAAGCATATTGAAATAGTAGCTTGCTTATTATAGATCAATCCTACCTTGTGTTTGAGACACTGCATGACAGGATTTCAAAAGCTGTTTGTACAAAAATAATAATGTCAAAATTGAGTAATACAACAAGAAGCAAATAAAATGAATGAAAACTGAAGTTAGATTGAGGAATGAATGCAAGAAAAGAATACATAACACAAAAGGCTAATAAATGTGAGTGCCTAATATGTTAAGCCGGAGAGTGTTTCCACCCATAGGTGTCTTAAGTCTGCACTGTACATCTGCTATGAAAGGTATCTCCACCATTATGACATGAAAGGGATATTTAAGACCTTGAGAAGTTTTGATCCAGTTAACTGGAATACATATGACCACTAGCCAGGTGTCAGTGCTCTGGGCCTGATTCTCCTCACACGTAAATCCACTGAAGTCATGGAGTTACATCAGTGGGAAACAAGCGTGACACCGGAATCCATCTCAGAGCCTTTTATGATAACGGCATGATAAATTCCATGCAGAACAATTAGCAGTGAGGGAACTTTCTAAGAATGACAAATCAAATACTCAAAAGTAAGGAATTACAAAGTTTAAGTTAAAAGCCCAGCCCTACTCCTGTCCCTTGTCTTTATATTGTGCTGGATCCAAAGACTCTCGCTGACTTAAGTAGGCTTTGGATCAGGCCCTTAATCTTTTTATATCTTCATACATTATTTTACCAACTAGTACAATTTACACTGCAAGGGAATTGTCTGAACCAATCAGGTTGCAGCAATGCTGCAGTCAGTGTAGCACAATTACATATTTTTTCTCATGTATTCACACTGTGCACTTTGATTGGATGTGTGTACATGATGGACATCGCTGGATTCAGACCATTTTGTGCTAGATGGTGGAGGTGGCAACTAGGGTGGACATTATACCTCCCTGAAGTCATTCTAGCACAGTGCATGTGCTTTATCAGCAGAGTTCACGTTCTGGAAAATTTAGTGAAAAACGTAGGAAATAAATTCATAACCCTGGAAGGGTGACAGCCACTACATCCATCCTTCAGTTCTCTCTCACCTTACTGGGTTTGTGCTTGCATAGTCCACCCGGCAATTGAGCTTGTATGATAATTATTGCTCTGCTGGCTCCTCCTTTCAGCAGGGGGAACCACTCAGGAAAAGAGTTTTCCACCAGGAATAAAATTTGATTTTTTTTTTTTTAAAGATGACCGCCAGTTTTCAAGAAAATTTTCTTCTTTTCACCAGCAGAAAGTAACATGGTATTTTAACCAGCGAAGGGCAAACTGGTTCTGATAAAACCCTGGAACTGTCACCAATTTTTAGAACAGGACCCACACCAAAAGCTTTTGCGGTTTTGAGATATTTTGAGCATTTTTTTTCACCCCTATTTTCCATCCAGGACTGGAAACAGAAGTCCCAAAACACGAAGAAAAAAGTTTTTTTTGAGGTATTTCCAGACAGGGCTGACCATGAATGTACTGGAATTCTGGGAGCCTTCCTGCCTAACCTTCCAGTCTCATGAGGTTTGAACAGGTTGGAGGATGAGCTTTGGACAAGCAGCCAAGGTTTAGATGGTTATCTGAACCAAGTCAGAACTCCATACTTTTTGAAGTCCTTCCAAGCCTACATTTTCAACTCCCAAAAAGCTGAGCGGGTACAAATAAAAGCTTCTTTGGAGCCAATTTCAGCGGTGACTCACACTCAGCAGAACTAGGGGTAGGTCTGCACAGCAGCTGGGAGGTGCAATTCCCAGTGTGGGCGCACACACACACGTCCTAGCCCTGCTGCTCAAGCAAGCATCTAAAATTGCAGTATGGCTGTGGCAGCGCCAGGCGCAGCTCAGGCTACCTGCTCAAGTACAATTCTACCGAACCTCCTGTGTACACATGCCAGTGGCTAGCCCAAGCTGCTTCAACCACAGGTGCTAGTTTGAGCAGAGGTAGTGGATGTACAACTGCCCAAGCTGGGAATCCCATCTCCCAGCTACTGTGTAGATGTACCCTACAAATGGAACTGTACTCTCTTTCTCTCCTTTAATTTAGTAACTCACGTTTCTTGTAACCCCTTTAAATAAAATACCTGCTCATTCTGCTTCTCCAAGACTTCTAGATGCTCAAGCTGAATTTTTCTCAGCTGATCCATTTCCTTCGACTGCTTCATTGCTAGCTACAAATAAGAGAAGAGAATACAGGTGACGTATATCACAATTTTTTTTTATGGATAAATAATTTCCAAAGAATATTATTTATTGGCTGGTGTTCACAGTGCAATACAAAACATTAGAAGGAGGCATGGTCCCCACTCTGGACAGTTTACTGTTTAGCCGATCTAAAATATATACAACAGAAAGCTATTTTAATTCAAACGTCATACTAATGAGTTATACGTACTTTGCATATGTTACTTAAATGTGATTTTAAACTCTGCTTAGGATTTTGACTTGTATGTGATAGAAACCAGTAACAAAAATCCATTTTACGAGCCAATTCTCAATTCAAGTAAATGGAAAGGTGAATTCAGATAAAATTCCCACAGATTTCAATCAAAATTTAGAAGTTCAGGAGTAGACCCTGGGTCAGGTTGCTGGTGAAGAGAGACCTTGAAATTCAGTTTGAGAATGACCGAGTCTCTAGTTTCTCAAGTTAGTAGAAATCAGTGCTGTCACTGAGCTACAGTAACTGAAAGGTACATTTTCAAAATGCTGTGCAGAAGCTGGGTGTACATTACTCAAGAGGTGAGGTTCCTGCCAACAAATCACATACATTTGATTTCTTATCAAAATTATACTTACCCTTTTTCTCTCTTCCAGAAACTTTTTAGTGTTGCTGCTGTTTAGTTCTCTTACTCGCCTAAATAAATAAAAAAAGGATATTGTGCTTGAGGACTTCTTATTAAAAAGTCCAAGAGCCAGAACCACAAATCTGAGTCAATGATAAGGAGATAAATAATGTAGGGGCTTATTTTGCCACCCTTTATGCACTACCATAGACTGTGAGTAGCTCCACTAGGGTGACCAGATAGCAAGTGTGAAAAATCAGGATGGGGGTTGGGTGGGGAATAGGAGCTCATATTTAAAAAAAGCCCTAAATATCGGGACTGTCCCTATAAAATTGGGACATCTGGTCACCCTAAGCTCCACTGAGGTCAGTGGGACTAATTACAAAGCAAGGCCCTACTCCGGCTTTAAGTCTTTACATTATATTTAATATTTCTGGCTATCTTGGATGCTGTGACTAAGAGGGTTTGAAGAAACTGATCAAGATTGTTGCAAACTAAGTTTGTCTTGATCCTCAGTCTGGAGTCATCCATTTAATTGAGGAGTTTGTTTTATTAATCCATTTGCAATAGTTTATATTTACCATCTCCTAACAGTGTTTAACAATTATTAAAATCATACTGATTATCAAGAATAAAAAGATATTTTAACGAGTGCTTGACACGGTGCCATTCATAGATTCCAAGGCCAGAAGGTACCACTGTCTTCATCTAGTCTGACTTCCTGTATAGCACAGGCCATAGAACTTCCCCAAAATAATTCCTAGAGCAGATAGTTTAGAAAAAAATCCCATCTTGATTTAAATATTCTGAGTGATGGAGAATGTACCACAACCCTTGGGAAATAGTTCCAGTGATTAATCACTCTCACTGTTAAAAATGTATGCTGTACTTTCAGTCTGAATTTGTCTAGCTTCAACTTCTAGCCATTGTGTTATGCCTTTCTCTGCTAGAGTGAGGAGCCTATGATTAAACGTTTGTTGCCCATGTAGATCCCACTATAAGGAACTCATCCCTGAACCTTCTCTTTATTAAGCTAAATAGATTGAGCTCCCTGAGTCTATCACTATAGGGCAGGTTTTCTAATCCTTTAATCATTCTCATGGCTCTTTTCTGAACCCTCTGCAATTTATCAACATCCTTCTGGAATGGTGGGCAGCAGAACTGGAAGTGGTCGTACCACTGCCAAATATAGAGGTAAAATAACCTCTCTACTGCGGTTTGAGATTCCCATGTCTACGTATCCCAGGATTACATTAGCTCTTCTGGCCACAGCATAGCACTGGGAGCTCATGTTCTGTCATTATGACTAATCAGTCATCATGATTAAGGCTACAATTTGATCATGGATATTTTTAGTAAAAATCATGGACAGGTCATGGGCAATAAACAAAAATTCACATCCCGGGATCTGTCCATGACTTGCACTATAAATACCCCTGACTAAATCTTGGGGGGAAAAGGGGCTGCTGCTGGGGGGTTTCCCTGGGTGCCACTACTTGAGGGGGGGAGAGGCACCCCAGGGGGCCACTGCTCAGGGTGGATGGGACTGAGAGGCTGCTGCTCAGTGGGGGGGTGGGTGGGTCTGGGCCAGCGACACCAGCTGCTGGAGGCCGCTGAACAGTGGGTGCTCTGGCTGCTCCCGGGGCTGCTACTCGGGCTGGTGTGGCTGGCTGCAGAGCTGCTCCAGCAGTGGCCAGTGCGGCTATCCACAGGGCCATGTGAACAGCTGGCCCTGGAGCCACCTGCTTGGGCAGCCCTGGGGTCAGCCACACTGATCGCTGCAGAAGTCACGGAGGGTGGAAAGTCACAGAATCCATGACCTCCGTGACAGATGCGGAGCCTTAATCGTGCTCCCTAAATATTTTTCAGGGTTACTGCTTCCCAGGATAGAGTTCCCCCATCCTGTAAGCATGGCCTACATTCTTTGTTCCCAGATGTATATGTTTGCATTGTAGCCCATAGGGCTAGCCTGCTTGTTTGCTTTATTATATCCTTCCTTATTGGTTTGTTTTATTATAATAGATTTGTACTTGAGTATTTTGGCAGTAACACAAGGAACCTACACGCCAGATCCTGTATGATGAGCTAAAGCAAGTTATCCTGGTTATGTTTGTGCCCTTTAACATAGAGAAGTGATGATGAGCTGAGGCAAGTTAGCATACATGTTTGTGACCTTTGGCATAGGTAAGTGGCCGACTGATTGCCCTCTATAAACCTAAATTTATAAACTTAACAGGTACACCACACAGAACATGGAAATAACCACCACCAAACCGGTTCAGGCCAGAAATAACAGATGTGAGAATGAGCTAATGGTCATAAATATGTATGAATATGCCAGGCTATAGAGTAAGCATACCCTGACATTATGTGGGTGAGGAAATTAAATTTGGACATGGAGGGTGGGCACATAAGAGGGACATACCACCATGTTCAGTTAGTCAGTTTTGGTCAGGTTTTAAGTTAGTTTCTCTTGGGTCTTTCTATTGCTTTCTAGCGCTCTTGCTTCTCTTAAATTCTTCATCTTCCACTTGAGAACTGAGGAACCTGGACTATCAGAGTCTTTTGGCATGCCAGAGGCAAGGCTGGTTCTTTGTCTCTTACCATCAGGTTATCAAGGAAGGGTGTAAGTGTGTTAATCTAGGAAGCTTTATAGTAAATAATACCACATGTGACTCCAGAACAATATTAATTCCTTGTTCATTCTGATTATTTTTCCATTTGATTACTATTCCATTTATCTCAATACAAGTCTTTAAGGCTGTATTTTTGCTCTCAGCATGAAAGTCCTTGTCATAAATCCCAAGGGTCCTTGCAAAACTCTGTGCAGCCTGATTCCGGGACAAGAATCTTATCATCTGATCCGATTAATTGGCGAGCCTATAGCCCGTATTATCTAAACAATAACATTCATCCCCTTAAATCAGGCAACAACATTTAGCCATATTAAAACATATATTGTTTGCTTGCGCCCAGTCTGAGTCATTGATGTGTCTTCTTCCTTATTTACCACTCCCCCAATTTTTTGTCATTTGCAAACTTTATTAGTGATGATGTTTTGTTTTCTTCTAGGTCATTGATAAAGATGTTAAATAACGTAGGGCCAAGAACCGATCCCTGCGGGACTCCACTGGAAACAGACCCACTCAATGAGGATTCCCTGTTTATAGTTGCATTTTGAGACCTACCATTTAGCCAATTTTTAATCCATTTAATGTGTGCCATGTAACACTTTATATTGTTCTAGTTTTTTTTAATCAAAATGTCATGCAGTACCAAGTCAAATGCTTTACAGAAGCCTATTATGTCAACACTATTACTTTATCAACCAGACTTGTAATCTCATCAGAAAAAGATAAAGTTAGTTTGACAGGATCTATTTTCCATATTTTATAGTGTGACAAAATTCCTGCTCTACCGTGCTGGGTCTTGTGTTTATTGGCAGATTTGCTCGCCTTGGAGCTTCACGGCAGCCCTCAGCTTGACCATTTTTCTGAACCCACAGTCCAGGTCGACTCCTCCTGTGTCTGACCAGGAGTTGGGAGGATTTGGGGGGAACCCGGGCCCGCCCTCTACTCCGGGTTCCAGCCCAGGGCCCTGTGGAATGCAGCTGTTTAGAGTGCCTCCTGGAATGGCTATGTGACAGCTACAACTCCCTGGGCTACTTCCCAATGGCCTCCTCCCAACACCTTCTTTATCCTCACCATGGGACCTTCCTCCTGGTATCTGATAAAGCTTGTACACCTCAGTCCTCCAACAGTCCGCGTTCTCACTCTCAGCTCCTAGTGCCTCTTGCTCACAGCTCCTCCCACGCACACCACAAACTGAAGTGAACTTTTTAAAGCTCAGGTGCCCTGATTAGCCTTCCTTAATTGATTCTAGCAGCTTCTTGATTGGCTGCAGGTGTTCTAATCAGCCTGTCTTAATTGTCTCCAGAAGGTTCCTGATTGTTGTGGAACCTTCCCTGTTACCTTACCCAGGGAAAAGGGACCTACTTAGCCTGGGGCTAATATATCTGCCTTCTACTCTCCTATAGCCATCTGGCCCGACCCTGTCACAATAGTTATCATATAAATAAAAAGAAATATAATTCACATTTGTAAAGTGCCTTTTATGGCAAGAATTCTAATGAGCTGACACAAAATAGTTGAAAGAGTTGAATTAGACTAATTGAAAAAATGTGAAAAAGAGCAGTGTCTTCAGCCTATTTTTATATATAAACCCAGCTTAAGTAATTTTATGTCATTAGCAGAAGGTTTTCATAAACCTGGAACATGATTACCAAGGGCTCTGGCAACTGCTGTCTTCAGTCTGTACTAGAAATCTGTAAAACTCCATTGTTTGTTCATTCAGAAGGAACAAGTTCAAGCCCTAGGATCAAAATAGCTCAATGTAGGGCAGGCAATCGAAGGTGAAAATGTTCAACTATTTAGCAAGCCCAAAACCATATGGAAACCCTGAAGGGTCATGGGAAATCATCATATGAACATTGCTTCTACCTGTGTATTCAGAACACCTTAAATTAAAATGGAATTTTAAAGAGCTACAAAACTGCAGCCCAAAACCTGGGGAAAATGCAAGAAGCTGTCACTGAAATCTGTGCCTCTAGTTTCCCAAGTCTGGAGCTCAGACATCAAAACTAGGGATGGCTTTCCCAGATCTGCAGTGAAGACACGCTGACTGGCTTTCTAGCTTCAGATGTGATCTGGTCTAGTGGGGCTTGGAGCCCCGCGAACAGGGAATATTGGTCAGGTTTCTAAGACCAGTCAGCATCAGGTGAATGAAGAAGCTGTGGTCCAAGGTTGGAGGATCAATACACGAAGGATACTACACTGTCGTCAGAAAACAGCCCCAGCTCCTCTCCCCCTCACATCTTTCTTTGGCATCCCCCCCCCCCCCAAAAACTGACTTTGCCCCGTACTAATCTCACACCTATCCCCTTCCTTCCCCATAACTTCCCTTCTGCTCCCTCTGGAATGCCTGTTCCATCTCTCATCCCTGCCAGGAGTGGGCAGAGATGAAGGCCATGGGATGCCTTTTCACTGACGCCATTTCTCATTCCCCAAGTGGCACTATCTCGCCTGCTTCTCTGAACCCAAGGCTAACCCCAAACTAGACCCAAGTCTCAGCGTTGCCTTCTCAGTGCATCTTAACAACACTAAAAAGTAACTGTTGCAAGTGATATTGCACAGCATTTAAAGGGGAAAAATGGATCAGTGAATAAAAACTAAGGTCCTAATTCTAGAAACACTTTCACACAGGTGTAACTTTATCTGTGTGATTAGTTCCATTGTAGTCAGCGGCACTCCTCATGGGTGTGACGTTCAACTCCTTTGTTAGTGTTTCCAAGATTGGGGCCTAAATGATACGATCCACACACACACAAAATTGTCCAGAGACAGCCATCGAAAATATATACAGCATAACAATTAAAAACACACGTCATTTCCCACACATCAAAGCATACTTTAGTCAATGTGTGCACAGATCAATCAATTATACTGCCTCTCATAGATGGATCTGACACTTACCTCTCCCTTTCAGCCTTATTTTTGATAGATTTATCCTGGCTTATGGCTTTGCTGTTTTCCATAGAAATTTTAGCCTGGTTGGCACGCATTTCCTTGCTTTCCCTAGGGAAATACGAACAAAATCATTATAAACTGAAATGTGATAGTTAATGGTTGTTAAGGTAGCTTATTGATACCTTTCTATATAATGGCTAAAGTTGTCTGTGAAGTATTAAAGAAGTACAAAGAACAGACTATATAAAGAATGTCTTCTTCCTACTGGACTGTATGTTTGAACAGCACTTACAAATCTCAGGAGGGTATAGAGAAAACAATTTGAAGGAATGGTTTTAAGCATTTTGCACTTTGAATTAAACAGGCTACAAAAATACAGTACTGTCTCTAGTTTAGAACTTTTGACTGAGTAAGAGCTATTGTCAGTAATTTAAGAAATGTGACTTGCCTTTTAAAACTACACAATAAATTTACAAAAACTCTGTGCACAGAATGTATGAGCAGAGTACGAATAATATTAACATTTGCTAGTTCTGGCATATCCGTCTTATTTTTATGATTTGGTGTTGTAACTTCAACTAGCGTTTGGTATAGGTTGATGAATTAGAGAAAAACAATTGCAACACAAACAGCACAGATGACAAAATCAATTAAAGTCCACTGAAGTCAATTATCATATATTATCAGTATTTTATCCTACTTAATGCAATTTGGTGCTTTCTGAATACTGCTCCACTCATCTGCTGATCTCTCCCTGAATTAAAAAATACTTTTTCTCTCTCTGACTCATTACCAACACATTTGGATGCATTTTAGTCAGAAATGTCAGTTTGACTCCCAGATTTTCTAATTTCTTGTGTGCTCCATACACAGTATCTCTAATTCAGTAAAGTGAAATGGAAAGAGTCAAAGGCAGCTGGACTTTCTGAGAGCCATCTGAGTTCTCGTACATCCTGGAGCTGGATAGTCCCCCCCCCCCCCAGTGTTCAATGGCAATCTTCTGATTGCACTCTTAAGCATTTTTTGTTTTCTGCTTTCTTCTTTGAATCCGGTCAGTCCAAGCATGAACTGTAATTGCTTTCTCCACTATGAGTGGAAAACGTTCGACTCTCCAGTAGATATCTGCATCATTTCAGATTACCGATCTCTCTACTACCACTCTGTACACTGTCTAGATAGCTATTCAGCACGTCTCATTACTCTAGTTAATAGATAGAGAGGCTGAAAGAATAGCATGCTGTCAACTGCCCTTTCTATTCTCAAGATGATCCTTTATTTTCCATGTGTCTTGCTCAGCTGATTCCTGGAGGTTACATATACTTCATGTATTTTATACATTCTACAGGCGATGAAGCATGAAGCCCCTTTTGGGCATTATGATCAACAATTCAACATTTCACATTCAAAAGCATTCTGGTTTGTGGATATGCACAGATCTAACAGTGTTTTACATTTGTCTAAGGCAGAAAAATCCCCAATCTTTATACAAACGGGTTGGATAAAAATCCCTGGGTAAGTGGCGAACACAGAGACAGCAACAAATACAACCAAAAAGATCCCTAACTTGGATGGCACAGAACATTATTTAAAGTTTACCCATGCACAGAAATCAATGTGTTGTGCTCGGCACCTCTGAAAAATCAGACCAGCACTTAGAACTGTATGGTACAAATGAAATTGATTTTAAATAAGCAATTCAGTACTAAGAACTGATTTCCAAAGATAATACAGAACCATTAAAATACTATGGAGATGTGAAAATTCTAAATCTAAAGCTACGAACTGTGAGGAAAGGATGAAGAAAGTAAATTTGTATATAGCCTAGGTGACACGTTTTCCTGGTAGAGATATCTCTCCACACTGATAGCTTTAGCCCAATGTAGATAAGAGAACAAGGGAAGTAGGTATAGAAAAGAAAAGAAAAACATTTCAAAAGAGATTAGAATAACTATTCCTCCAGGAAAGAAACTATAATTTAGCAGAATAGATTAGAAGGAGTATACTGGTTACAAAATGGATCAGAAAGCAAGACTGTGGATAGCAAACTGGCTGTGGTGCCTTTGTGGGCTGTTGCAACTGCATAACAGAATACCCCAAAGGCTGTCCTAACTTGTACTAGGGAATGACTCTTCCCCGGCTTGGTCCCAGAACTAGGATCTGTAAAATAATTATTTTTAATGTATTTCATAATACTTCAAAAAGTATCTAATTATAAAATAAACATATTCCTAGACAGCTTGAATTAATGAGCTAATTTGGAGAGTAACATAAAGATGAGCATATTAAAACCTTTCACTGAGAATTTCCTCTGCTGGATGGAAAGCATGCAGGTCTCAGCATGGAATCTGTTTTATGGTAAGGTACTACATTAGTTCATTCAGGAGTTTTGTTAAAATAGAAAATAACCTCAGTTAGCTTCTTTTGATGTGAAGTCGTTTATGCTTTTTGGACTTCCTACCAGACCAGTGCTGAGGACGGTCTTTTAAAAATATGTATTAAGTAAATTCCTATGCTTGTGGACTTCCTCACATCATAGACTGTGCAATGAGATAATTCCTCCACTTCTATTCTTTGCATGTATAACTCTGGGGATTATGATACTTACCTCCCTTAGTAAAGTCCTTTGAGACCTACTGATGAAAAGTGCTATATTAGAGATAGGCCATACTATTATTTGCATTTAATTTAAAGGGGACAGTGCAGTTAAATATAAAAGCAATCAAGAGTGCTGGCATGCAGCATTTTCTTTGTACTGGAGATTACAACCTGATATTTTATTAAAACAATGTGCAACTGTGAGGTAGTTACACAGAAAAAAAAAAGGTAACTAAAGTTTTCACACCCACAGCTCCTATCAGCTTCAAAAGGTAGTTGCAAATGCTCAGCATCTCTCTGGTTCAGGCTCTTTAAATTCAAGTTCCTTAGCGTAAATGGAGCTGTGGCGATTTACACCAGCTGAGGATCTGCTCCATTATCCCTCAGTTCTTCCTTTGATAACTTATTTGACTATTATGATGCTCTATCCTGATAATCCCGTCACCAGTGCACAGGTTCTCAGGGTGCTGAATGATGACACTGATCTGCTCACCTGTCATGAGAAAACTTTAGCTGTTGGGTTTGTTGCTCATGAGCATTAACCAGCAGGGTTTTCAGGAGCTCACACTGCTGGCTCAGATGTAAATCACGGATTTCTTGCTCTTCGGCACTGTGGGTGTTGATCATCTCTGACCACTCTTTAGTGTGCTGCGCTACAATTTCTTTTACCTGTAGAGAAAGAACAATAACTAGTTTGTCAGTATTTCTCACAGTTATAATATAAGGGTAGCCATTAATGCAGTGGAGATCATTTCAAGATAATTACAAAAATCTTACAAAACACAACTAAATTGCAAGAACTAAATTATATAAAGCAAACTGCTCCACAGTGACATGAAGCCACTAAGGAAACTACAGTGTATTATAAACACCAGATAAAATGCACCCTCACTACTAGGGCTCTCTGTTACCCAGCTGCCCTGTGTAAAATGACTGAATTAATGCCCTCAATTGTACTACAATTCTTTTTAAACCTCCTGAAACGTATGCTTCATTATACAACTGCTAAGCATTCTTGGCTGCCTCAAAAATATAAAATAAAAAAAATCAGAAATGGAGAATATCTAGTGGGATGAATTTCTCTAAGGGCTTAAACACAGGCTCCAATTTTGTGGAGAAAATCTTACCCACACAAAGAAAGCTTATGCTCAAATAAATTGGTTAGTCTCTAAGGTGCCACAAGTCCTCCTTTTATTTTTGCGAATACAGACTAACACGGCTGTTCCTCTGAAACTTTATTCACACAGTCAGTTTTTCAGAGAAATCCTATATTTAATACATCCTGAATCTGCAGCTAGACTATATAGCTGTGTCTTATGCTCATTAAGTCAGCAGGGAATCTGACAAGTATTCTTTTCTTGCTCAGCTCTCAAGACTCACAAGAATAATAAGATTAAAGTTTTGGAAAGTTCCCAAGAGACAATGTGAAGAAGTTTAAGCCATCAGAGTTGTTATTATAATAGTAAATTGTACTCCAATGATTTAGAAAAGTAACTAATAGAAAGATATACCTTATTATCCCTTCATAATTAGCTATGCTATTTTGACAAGCTATCCTACTTTTCCATAAATGCGCACAAAGTCTCACCAAAAAATCATCTATTTTCAGGTAGGCCTTTTTATAAAGTGCTACTATGGAAACTAATAGCCTTTGGGCGTTCTTATATGGAAGCTAATCCTGATTCTTCAAATCAAAATTGCCATCACAGAACTCCCAAGTGAGACTGATGCCAAGCCCCTCAGGAGCATGTACCCCCTAGACGCACTTCCTCTCAAACGTATTTTAGGCATCTGGCCCACAGTCAGATGCATACAACTAAACAGGCTCGTCCAGTGCACTGACAGCGAAACAACAAAAGTGAGAGAGAAATTCAAGGGAGCAGAGCACCTCTAAAGGCAACCAGTGCCTAGACTCTCTGCCAAAGGTACAAGCAAACAAAGAACACGTTGTGTGTTAAGAATGGGATTCCGCATTGATAATAAAGAGCTTGCTGCCTTTTCCAAGCTAGGCTGGTATCTTATCTACATAAAAGCTAGTCTCACGTTTAATTATAATTAAATATACTTCCCACAAGAAAATGTATATGGTTTAGTGCAGAAAATGCAGGCAAAGAGCTGCACAGAGTTTGGCTTTTTCCAACTGGCAGGAAAACAAGCCTTTGGAGGCAGAAGTTTGACCAGACTAATACAGCAAGGCCTCCCATTCAACAAGGTACTTAAGCATGAGCGTAACTTTAAGCATGGGGGTAGCCCCACTGACTTCAATGGGACTATTCACAAGGTTAACGTTATGATAGTGCTCAGGTATCTTACTAAGTTGGGACCTAGATGCAGAGGAGTGAATCTTATGGGAAACAGCCCAGGGGAAGAAAGCCTTTATTGACAGGCTCCCATAGTAATACTGACCTCCGAACCCGAACACACTGGGTGTTAGGGAGGGAGCTGAACATACACATGGAAATAACCAGAAAACATTCATGCTTTTTGGATGGGATTTTCCAAAGGGCTCAGTGTTGGCCTAAAGCTGCTCACATGGCAACCAATGGGAGTTTTACCGTTGACTTCAATGGGAGTGGAGTTAGGCCAACACCGACATCTTTGAAAAATTCTACCCTTTATGTTTATCTCAATGTACAAGATGGGATCAGCCCCATCTTTGTAGATGAAGACTCAATAATGCCTAAGCTATCTAGGGGCCCAGTGACCAAGGAAGAATTACAAGTGAGTGAAACCACATCAGAAGCAGGTGCATATTCTCAGAAGACATCTATGGTCATAATGTTAGAAAGCATTGTTTTATTTTGTTTTGTTTTTTAAAAGATCAGCACTCTAAGACGATACAGGTTAGTAGGGGGGACAGTATAATGAGGCTTCCGGAGACCCCACCGCTTTGCATTCTTGCACAGGTGCCATCCATATTATTTCATAAAGGCGGCTCCCATTGTAATAGCCTTTCCAATTGGGTCGAGCCACTGGGTGCTGCACCCTTTCAAAAGCTGGTACAATCCTGGAGAGAACCATGGCAGGGTTGGCCAGAATTTCTCCTTCATGTTGCAGTGTGATTCCCCCACATGCTACCCAGGACAGGCCTGGGCCTTGAACGCACAATCTCCATATAAGGGGCCTGAGTCATTTACACTAAATGCACATTACATTGCTTTAGCAGCACAAACAGACATTAGACAGGATGTAAATATGATTTACTCCCAAATTTAGGTTCCCTGTTACATGGTCAGAGCGGTGTAAAATGGCCTTAGTGTAAATAAGAATCAGGCTCAAGGTGTCCATCTTAGAAATATCTTGAAAAACTAAATGACTAATGCAAACACTGGAAATCCTGGGGAAAGCAAGTACTGTTTGACTTAGTGACAAAGAGCCTCTAGAGAGCCAAATAAGCACAGAAAAGCAAAGAATTCTAGGCTCTCAAGGGAAGAGATGATCTGATAATTGTTTCTGAAAAGTGGCAACATATATTACAGAGGAACACAAAGGAGGAAATCCTATAGACTGAACAGACATTCTAATACCAATGAAGAAACCAACAACAGAGCTTAGAGAGCTAAGCAAGATTATTATTCAAGTGCTTGATCCGAGGAGACAAAGATAAAAATCTTAAAACTCACAACATGCTCATGGAGAGAGATGCGCTACAGAGGATGCAAAACATTAATTTCCTAGACCTCAAAATAAGCCTGCAGCCTAAAAGAGAGGTACTGCTCCTGGTAAAACAAGCCGCTCTGAAATCATGTCTTTAACTGAATATCCTGCAAAGCTGCATGGTAGATTTCAAGTAAAGCAAAATATATCCTGGGATTAAGAGAAATCTGTCAAACAGAAGTGAATGTGAGAAGAGCTGAAATCCTGCCTTTCATTTACTTCCATGTATGTCTAGAGAGACAATTCTTCATACAGAACTTTCAGTAACAGTGAAATATTTTTTTCTTCTTTCCCTTGCCTCCTTTTCTTGCTGGATATTAGGAACCTAGTTTTCCAACACAGGAATGTATCTTGCATCTACAAAGGTAGATGTGTGTAAAGTATGCATTTGTGTATTCAAAACGAGTATTTCATGTTAAACTCGGCCTGGATTTGTATCCACGACATAGAGGAGCAAGTCTCTGTAGACCATTACCACTGGTAATGGGCATAGCTGCGTAGTATTTAATTTCATTTTCACATGTTGTGATACAGGGATGATGCACATCTGATACATGCTGGATTAATCCTAGGAGCTCACTAATCAAATGAACTCACTTGATCTTAAAATCAATGGATCAAATGGTGAGAGGTTTCTGAACAGCTGCTGAGTATCTGCAACGCCCATTGAATTCAATAGGAATTGTATAAACTTGGCATCTCTCAGGATTTCCCAATGTAATTTTTATCTGCATAGCTGTACTCTGTTGGGAGTAGAAGAAATCTACATTTCCATTTGGTCTGGAGCAAACCACCCAGGTGGGGTACAAGTGAAAGCCAGCATCAAAGGTGTTCTGTGGGATCAGTAAAGCCACAAAGGGTGGAAGTTTCAAAGGAGCTCAAGCTCCCTTAGGGTCCTTTAAAAATCCCAACCTAAAGCTAGACATGGAGAAGAAAGCAAGCCATCCATCTGTGTGGGGACGGATTATGCATTTGACAGGATCTGTTTGGAAGTTGGCATTTTAAAAGGACATATCCTAATATCCAAATCAGTTTGTGGGAAGGAAAAAAAAAACATTCAGACTCATTGGAAGTAGAAGGTTAGTGAACACTTCAATGTCCATTTATATTAGAACCAGTCTGGGCAGCTAAGGTCACATCAAAGACTCTTCTATTCTGTAAAGCTTTAAGATTTTACACTTTGCTTTGTATTTAAGCTTACTGCCCAGCTTGCAATGCTCTCTCTAGAGTTGTTAGCCCCACTGATTTTTATAACTAGCTTTTCCTTTGTGCTTTTCTCAATCTGCCAATACAACCAGTTTTTATTTCAGACAGTGGTTCTGACATTTCCTATTGTGGCCACGTTGTTAAGATTTCTATTTTCTGATACATGCTCTCCTTTCCCTAGACCAACCTCACAACTTCCCTGCAGCAACAGCAAACTATGGCCCTTGATTTTGAGCTGTGGCACTCAGAGGTGCAACCAGAAAGGAGGAGGAGGGGCAGAGTTTAAGCTGCCTCTGCATTTCCCAGATGCTGGGCTCTGCTGGATACAATTTAGAGCAACCCCGAGTGGTTTCCTACAGCTTCCTATGGGCTACTATACCGACCCTATGGAACTTGAACACAGTACACTCTCGTCATGCTTCCTCTGGCTGCCAGTTTGCCCCTCATCTTCAACCTGCCTCTGTCCGCCTAGGGAAATAAGGTGATGGAGAGCACATAGCACTCTTCCACTAGCCCCATGTGTCCGGGAAAACCCTTTATGCATAGGGTAATACCCTTTTTTCACCAACAGAGTGACAGTCAGGCTGCAGAAGGAGAGAAAACTAGGATCTACATGTTCTGGCTACATGAATGCGTGATATTAGAATTGACAAGACGAAAGTGAGCTTGTCTTAGTCTGCTTAATACAGTGACGTGGTTACCTCTCCCATGCGGTATCTGTGGTGTTTGATGCCTCTCCCTGTGTGTAAGACTTTACATGTATTAGGTAAAAATCCCCTGGTGTTTTCAATCGCCTCTGCTCTAATCTCTCTGGGTCATTTTGCAGCTGGTTCTATCGTAGAGGGTATTTGCTATTCCTCTAACTTTGACATCAACCACAAACCTGAAAGCAGTTCAAATGGCACCAGAGAAATCTTTGACAAAGTAGTATAGGATGCAACAAAGTGCAGAATGAGGATTAGTTTAAAAAATTAATTAGTCAGGAAGTCTCTGGAAATACTAGCTAAGATCTATACTGCACCGCATCTAGCCTGAAGACTGACAATGTTTTACCTCTGCAAGGGAGCAGCTCCATGCAACTCTTCAAAATGGTCCATGACCATAGCTTGAGAACAACTGATTTAAAAACAACTGGGACTGGATCTTGGGTGCTGTTATTTGGGGACAGGCATCTTGGAGAAAGCAATGGATTCACCTTAGGAGAAGTACGAAGTAACCAAGTAATACATCTGATGCAAATGGGATGGTTCCAGGAGAGAGAGACAGTGAGGGCACAGGGAGAGTCAAATGTCTGGCAGGGTGTTGGACAAGGTGACACTGATGTAAAACTAACAAGCAGCTAATTCCATTTACCTACATATTTTTGGTGGCAAAATTCACTTCCAATTTTCATATAGCACATTTTCCTCTGTTCTCTGCATAGCTGAAACGACTACAAAATGACCAAATATTTTTGTTTCACATGGAAACAAAACTAGGAGCATGATACGCTCTTCAAAAATTGTTAAAGTCAGGAAATGGATTTTGCTCTTTTTGAATAAAAAACCAAAAGCTTTTAGACACTGAGTAATGCCCATTCTTTTCTGCATGTCATTATTGCTGAAAATTATTTGCATGCTTTCATAAAAATAAACTACCATTTGGGTCTCAAAGATCTCAAATGTTGCATGTGTTAACACTGGCATGTTTTCTTACCTTAGATTTGTGATCGGATGTTAAAGCCTGAATTTTAATTTCAGTTTCTTTCTTCATTTCAAGACAATTACTTCCTCTAAAAAAGCAAAATGGCAAATGTGTGCCACAAGTTAAATATCTTCCCATCCAGTCAGCTCATACTAATGTATAGTTAGTCAATGATGAAGTACTGTAGTGTATTGGAATGAAATTATTTCTGCTAGCAATTTATCCACACTTTACAAATATTATCGGTTTACTGATCATGCAATTCAAACACACTTCACCTGTTATTTCTAGAGGGGACCCACAATTATTCAATTACTAAGGATATGTCAGCAAGTCCATTTATGATGCTGGTTTCTTTTTTAGCCAAAAAAATTAAACTTCAGCCTGAAAACCTGCAAACAGATTCACTGCCTAGGTATGATTTTTGTTCTGTTTTGCTTGTTTTAAAGCCAATTGTGCTACCTTTTGGTTTGAGGCATGAAAAATGTATCTTGATTGCTAGTTTCCATTGTGATTTCTGCATCTTTAACAGAAAAAGATTTATTGTCAAGTACAGCTACCTATAACGAGTGCCCCGCTGCAGCAAAGCTGAAATGACCGCAAGGATTGGTCTTCATACCCGTGTGCCATGAAAGAGGATCTGCACAGCCCAAACTGGCCAATGTGGCGTGGCTGGCACAGACCCCATGCCAGTACATTCAGGTTTTTGGAGCTGAACTTTGTATGGATCCAACAGCACCAATCCTCACACAGACCTGATCCTGCAACAGAATGCATATAGCAGGACCGTGGCACCCATGTGGAACCGAGCTAAAGTTAATAGGGCTCTGTGTGGGTGGCAAGGGTCTTCTGGTATTGTAGGGGCATCACAGGCTGGAAGAATAGCTACAGAGGGGTTATGCTGCCACCCAATAACTTGCCTGCGCGGTGGGTAGAAGAGTGATGAAATACCACCCTCCCACAACAGTTCCCTTCACAAATCTCAGGGTATGTCTATACTACCCGTCGGATCGGCAGGCAGCGATCGATTCAGTGGGGGTCGATTTATCGTGTCTAGTCCAGACGCAATAAATCGACCCCCAAGCGCTCTCCCGTCGACTCCGGTACTCCACCACCGTGAGAGGCGCAGGCAGAGTTGACGGGGGAGTGGCAGCAGTTGACTCACCGTGGTGAAGACACCGCAGTGAGTAGGTCTAAGTATGTTGACTTCAGCTATGTTATTCACATAGCTGAAGTTGCATAACTTAGATCGATCTCCCCCCGCAGTGTAGACCAGGCCTTACTTGGACTTTGTGCTGGGAGAGGTGGCAGCATACAATGTAGGATCAAAAGTTCCATTACAGCAACAAGAAAGCTTTCAATTAAAGTCTTACAAGAGTCAGTAAATTCTCAATCCATCCTTCAAACCCTGACCTGTCATGCCCTTTCTTGCAGCGAAAGGTTCTTAGAACAACATGCAAATCCACACACCAAACTTCCTGGCCTTTTTGTTTTGGTTTTAGAACAAATCTGTCTTTGACTGGAATATATTTTTATTTCACTTTTTGTGCAGCCCCTTTAAAAAAACATTTCTCATCAAATCCTTAGTTGGTGTAAATCACCATCATTCCATTGTCGTCGAGTGGAACGACACTGATTTGTACTATCTGAAGATTTGCCCCAATTAAATTGTTTATTGCTTGGCTGAAGTAAAATTAAATTAATCACAGTCCTGGAAATGAAGCTTGATAAAAAAATATGCCAGTTTTAAAGACTATTTTAATATCAGAGTGCTGCTAACTTATGGAAATGAGCAGAAAGCTTTATCCTCAAATGTTCCCAGAAAAGTCTGGTATGGAAATACAAGGAGTGTGATGTGCCTTGTGTTTCCTATGGGCCACCGTGAGGATTAATCACTGATTTGCTTGTCACAGCAAGGAAGGTTTTGCATAGATTTCTGCCATAAGTTTGATACTCTGGAAAGTCCTATAGAGTTATAGGGCCAGTTACATCAGACTAAATCTGAAATGTCATTGACTGCAGTGAAGTTACTTTTGTTTTACACTGGTGTAAATGTGTTCAGGATCTAGCCACAATATAGTTTAATGCTTCTTATGCTTTATGAAGATCACTCCACTCAGGGGGATCAAACATATTTATTCAAAGACGCACTGATCAGTAAAATTTCCAAAATCCCAATAGTCAGTGCCAATTGTTTATTCCTTTTTTTAAAAGTAGCATTCAGTCTGCGGTGAGGGAATGTTAAAATGGCTGAACACAATCACCCACTTCTGTACTGTCAAAATGTATGTAAGCTTTAGGTTACACAGTCCTAAATGTGAACAAATTCCTTGGCAACTATCCCACCCCAAGCCGCAACTTTACACACGCACACACACGTCCTACAGTTTGAATCCTAGACATCCCTGTTAATCCAGGACTGTCCTTGTGTCCCCCTCAACCACATTTCAGAGTTGGAACACGAGCGCACAAGCTCCCCCGCGTCTCTGAGAGATTTATGAGCATGTATGGCATTTGTAGTGTGCATCTGAACTACTTGCTCAAGTGCACAGGGAACTAAATCCTGTCCATCTGTCAGTGAATGAAGCTGTAATTAATTTTTTTCCTGAAAATTATGCAGCTGACAGACACGTCATGCCATGTGGGAGATACACTAGAAAAAAAACTACATGTAAGCATCACAAAACCAGAATGGAAGGCATTTTTGTCTTTCAGGAAGGCATTTTTGTCTTTTGGATGAATATGCACCAAATTCAAATCGAATTCCTTTAATTTTTTTAATTTATTTTAAATCAACGTATTGCTTGTGAAAGTTGCCAGAATGACAGCAGTGGAAACCAAATACATTATTTAGCCAACGAACCAGGGCCCATACTCAGCACCGCACCTAAGCACATGCTTTCAAAGCTAAGCATGTGCTTAAGTTCCATTCGCTGTGCTTACATTTAAGCAGGTGCTTAAAGGTACCGTAGAACAGAGATGGATTTAAGCATGTACTTGAGATCTTGGCTGAATCTGGGCTCAGAGCAGCACAAACAGTGACAGGGTCAACTTCCCCCTGCACTATCCCCTCAGTGTACCTTGATCCAGATGTGAAGGATCCACTTTTAGGAACAACAAGGTAAACCAGAATCTGTGTGCATATAGCACATTGGCCTGTCCGTTAAAACTGGCAAGAATGCACACAGATAGAATAGTTTACATGATAAGGACGTCTACCCACTAGGGATTAGAGGACAGTTCTTTTCCCTTGCACCACAGAACAGCCATCAGATGGTGGCTTTTGCTCATTCATGACCTGGGATGGAGTCAAGCTGGTGACAAGTAAATGGTTCTCTGTCCCAACATAACATCCTGAGGCCATCTACTCCTTTGTTTACACTTAAGGCTTTCATTTTTTCTTCAAAATCTTTTAGTTTTCCAAAGCATGGACCCAAACTATCAGAAATCTTCAGGAGGCCCTTAGGGCAGAGAAGTGTTATGAATGCCAGTGGAAATTTACTGTGATCTAATTGCAGCAACCTAAGTGAGGTGAAACGGGGATGAGTTATCTTCCTAGTCACCCATTCTCAGGTCTTCGTCAGAGGTCTTACACAAAGGTTTTCACTGATTGTTAATGCAGTCATGGACAGTTATCGCCACATTTAAATCTCATATCTGCCTTTGTTTATTTGCTGCTTTGCCTAGACGTAGAAGAGTGGGAAGACCGATCTCTTCTCAGACCAGTGTTAATGCTGATGCGTAAATCTTCTGGCTCAAGGTTCTCAAAATGCAGAACAGCTGTAAGCCTATCTCCCTGGAAGGCAGATACAGTATAATTTCCATGGTGCTCAGTTTGTCACTAATGGTGCAAGGAGTGAATACCATGTGCCATTAGTGAATACCATCTGCCATTAATTATAATCCCAGTTCACACCTGCCAACTCCTTAGCCATGCGCTGCAATTGAATTGAAATGAGCTTTTCCTGTTTCACCAGCTCCCCTTATAATCAGAGTGTCATGATGAAGTGGGCTGTAGCTCATAAAAGCTTACGCTTTAATAAATCTGTTAGTCTCTAAGGTGCCACAAGTACTCCTTTTCTTTTTACGGATACAGACTAACACGGCTGCTACTCTGAAAGCTGATACTTCAGTGATCTGTTTGCAACATTAGGATTGTTTCTGGAAGTGCTGCTCAGCCTAAGAAATATTTGGGTCCTGACAATGGTTGTCCTTCCTTAAAGTAAAAACAGCTCATGGTACACTTTGGAAGAGTTCATGTAGTCTTTGCATAACTTATTGTGGAGACTTCTTGTTACCTCTTTTGCTTCAGAGACTGCTACTTCTAATAAGAGTTTTGTTTAATATAATTTCAGGCACACATATTTTACAAATACTGTTCATCCAAATACTATATCAAACACAGTAAAGCATTTATGAAAGAACCCATCGCCAAAACGGCACCTAAGCTCAATACAGCAAATAATTTTATCAGAGACTGGCCCCAACAGCTCAGTTGCAGACCCTCTACCACCAGCCCAGTATTAATAATTTAATATTATTTTATTAAATTTGTTGGGAGGTGGAGAGTGACGTCATTCCAGGATCAGGGAAATGTTGTTGCCGGATCAGATAATATAAACAATTAATACTAACTGCTAATATAATTCTATATTCTACTAAAAAAGAAAAGGAGTACTTGTGGCACCTTAGAGACTAACAAATTTATTTGAGCATAAGCTTTCGTGAGCTTATGCTCAAATAAATTTGTTAGTCTCTAAGGTGCCACAAGTACTCCTTTTCTTTTTGCGAATACAGACTAACATGGCTGCTACTCTGAAACCTGTATTCTACTAAGAAACTCATTCCCGCTTTTCAGGGGTCACAGGTTAACTGTAAGACTAATGGTACAATATTGTTATTTAATCAAAAAGGGACTTTGGGAGGTAGACGTCAGCAACAGGGGGAAAACAGAGGAGAAGCTGCTACAAGATAAAGAGCTAACAACCGGAGAACAGCAGGAACCTGGAAATTATAGAAACCTCTAGGTTCTGCCTATTAGGACCGCAAGAGACAAATTTTATGAATTATGAAGAAGATATTCCAGAAACTTCAGGAGCAGTTAAGAACAGCATATCGACAATGGGTTAGATCCTAGGCTAGCACAAACCGAGGTAGCTTCACTGCCATCATAAAAGCCAATTTATAATCAGCTGCGAATCTGAAAGAGTATTTACAGTTCCTGTGTTGAGAGGAACCTTTTCGAGATGACGGGAAAGCAGATCCTATTATTTGATCTGAGCTTCCGTCTACAAAGTTCAAGATTAATACATCAATTTTTTCCAAGACCAAATTGTGATCGAAGTCTAATGATGTAATTCACGGAGGTTCTGAGCCTGCTCTCATTGAAACCAAAGGTAAAACTCCCGTTGGTCTCAATGAGAGCAAGGGCAGGCCCATGGATACTGAACATCTGATGTGATTAATTTGCTTTAATGTCACATGCGGAGAAAATAGAGGACTCCAGTAAGGCAAAGCAAGAACAACACTTAGGGCCCAATCCTTAAATCCTCGTGCAGGTTATATTTATATTGACTGAGGAGGGCCAGGTCAGGCTGCTGTAAGTTAAATATAAATTACTTTTCTAGTAATATTTTGTTCCAGACAGTAAAAGCATAAAAATCTGTTTTGATTCTTATAAAACATTTTAAAAGAATATCTTACCCTTTCTTCTTGATTGCCTTCTCTAACATTTTCTCATAAGATAACTTTTCTTTATCATACTGTGCCACTATTTTGTCAACTTGTGTGCAGTGCAACTTCTGCATAGTGCTGTGCTCCTGGAAAACAGTAGGACCTTACAATTAGGTTGCTGGACTTTTAATGTTTCATTTTCTTAAAGTGGATAATATCAGTGTAGGAACAAATATGTCTGGCACTGTATTTAATCCCTTTTAGCTGCTTGATAGCAAGGGGCCCAGATCTCCCACAGTAAATGTAAAACCTTTCTCCTCGGTGCACGTTGCAGGAAAATCTGTCCTGGCAGAGTGCTAATATCCTGAAAATATGGTATACAGCTACCATAAACCAAGAACTTTATGGAAAGAAATGCCAACAGGTAATATCTGCATAACTATATCTTTTTGGAATACATGATCATTTAAATGCAGTGCAGTAATAAGATTTATGAACTCAGAGCAGGTACCATATAAAGATTCTGGAACCCCGGGGATCACAAAAAAACAACAGGCATCCCCCTAAGTATCCTAGAGTGAACACAGCCCCAGATCTTCAGCTGGTGTAAATCACGTAGCTCAACTAAAGTCAATAAAAATTGACACTGGCTGAGGATCTGGCCCATAAGTCTAGTGGCACTCGGTATTTTGTCCTAGCAAAGGTTCATCGCGCAGAAGCTGGTTTCTTATTCCAAGTGATGTTAAGCTACGCAATAGGGCTATCAAATGTATATTTAGTTAGCTGCAACGGACTATTTGTGTTTTTCTTTCCGGCCTTCCCCAGGCACAAGCTACTCATAAAGGACCTGATTCTGATCTATATCACACCAGTGTAATTCCACTGATTTCAATGGAGTCACACCTGATTTATACTAGTGTAAAGGGGGAAACAATTTTCCGCATGGGAATAAAAGGTTAATTACGTACACACATATTACATACACAGGTCCACCTCTTTATAAAAACCTTTCTGTTTCAGAAGTAATAGTCCTCACTTAATGCTTGTGTGTCCTGGCTCTGCAGTGGACTGAAACTCATAAGTCATTTTAATCACCCTTCCTTATGAAACATGCTCATTATTCTTCAAACATCTGGCTGCCAGTGATGGTAGGAAAATACTGAGCAGACACTGGAATAGGGAATTTTGTTGTTTTAATTATTTTATTAACGTACTATACCCCTAGATTTTATCTAGTCTTGACAAAAAGGTCTTGTATTAACTGTTATGGTTTGGTTTACTGTGGGAAATGTAAGCAGATCACATTTTACATTAAAAAGTTACCAGGATTTTTTTTTGGTCTGTTTTCATTTAGTTTCACTACACATTCTGAATTTACACGACTGCTCTATACCATAGGCTTCATTGCTACTATTTCTATATATCATAGCAACCAACTCATCCGTGTAGTTCCTTTTAAAAATACTAACGAAAGAATTTCACCTCCCTTTAACAAATGCTGCAACGCTTTTAAAAGCTAGCGTTAGAATGTAAACCTGAATTCCAGCATCTGCTATCCACCCCTCTGGGCAATAACATAATGCAGCTCCTGCAATTTCTATTCAGGATGAAGCTCTGAGCTCTCTGTTCTGCAGAGAATCAAACAAAAAAAATGGACTTTACTAGCATCAGAAAGATGTCAGCTTCAGCAGGGAATACACAGGCTGATTAGCAATCTAAGAGAAACTGCAGACAGTGAAAAGGATGAAGCAGGCCTGACGGCACTAGACAGCCACAGGTGAATTGTCTGATATATTTAATTACTAAAGCTACACACTCTTCCCCAGATAAACGGAACAGTACAATTCTTGATATAAAAGACTAAGCATAATTATCTGAAATTATATGCCATCTGTACACTTGTCCAGCACTTCTGCATGAACTGGGAAAAGGAGGCAATATTCAGTGCTGGAATCCTGCTTTGTTTAGGAACCATACAGAACTTCCCCATCACAACCTAATTTGATTCTTTTCTGAATACTCATCTTTATCTAAGAGGATATACTCCCTGAAATGTTGTATTCAACAGAAAGTTATTTTCGATAGATAACCAACTGGGCTGTGCTTTCTTTGTGGACACATGCTCATCATAAATTGTTTCACGAAACAACGCTTTAGTTTGAATGCACAGAAACGCAGCTAAAAAGGAAGAAAATACAAAGCTCTGTGTACTGGGAAACTGCCATGTCTGCCTGTGCCATCCAAGTAGTTGGGTGATGCTAAGCTAGCAGAGCAGAGACAGGAAGAGATCACTGGAGAGAAGTCGGACGACCCTGGAGAGGAGTGAAGACAGACTGATTGATGGGGAAAGCGTGGTCTGGTTTGCTGTTCATGTTGGTGCTGGCTGTTTCTAAAGGCAGCAGGGCAGCGCTCCATTGTTTATTAGAGCATTTAAAGCCCTTTGAGCCTGATCCATTTTTCTTAATTCTCTTTTGTGATGCATGTGTGCACATGGTCTCCTCCTCCTGCACTTCATTCACCCTTTCATCCTCCTCTGTCATCTGCCACCTCTGGCTCTCTTCTGAGATTTCCTCAGCTCCTGCTGCGAGCTGAGAATTAACTATTCATTTCTCCTCTCATCCCCTTCTTTCTTCACAAGGTTGCTGATGAACTCTCAAGTTTTGCCTTTCTGACTCCCTTGACAAAGCATTGATGATGTAAAGTAGCTTTAAGCGGGGAGAAAAAGAAAACTTAGTTCACACGTGCAAGTGCCGCCTTGTGATTTGGGAATGTTTGTGGGGAAGGAGGAAGCAGAAAAAATAAAGATTGTAGGTTGAAAAATGTTGCAACATAACTGTGCTATTGTGCGACATAACTTACTGGCATCCATTGTGTCAAATGTTCTTGAATTTTCTGAATCACGATATGAAATGACTGCACTTTATTTAAAGGGGCAATATTGCACCCAAACCCCATTGCTCTGGTAAGCTGCTGGACCCACTATGGGATGAGCCTCATGGTAAGTACATTTTTTAACGCCCAGTTCCTCTTTTAACTTTGATTTCTGCCACTTAGCACAATGGCATGCACTGCATTTGTTAAGGCTAACTTGGAGAACAGAGCCATTGCAAGTAGCGATGCAGCTCTGGGAGAGTCCCTTTGTGAATATTTCTTCTTATCTTCAGAATGGCATTTCTGAGCCTGAAGCCACCTTCATAAATTGGGAATCATAGAATATCAGAGTTGGAAGGGACCTCAGGAGGTCATCTAGTCCAACCCCCTGCTCAAAGCAGGACCAATCCCCAATTTTTGCCCTAGATCCCTAAATGGCCCCCTCAAGATTTGAACTCACAACCCTGGGTTTAGCAGGCCAATGCTCAAACCACTGAGCTATCCCTCCCCTGTATGTAAAGAGCTGGGACAGTGAATTTTTATGGGACGTGTGGAAAAATAGTCCTTCTGCTTTATTTGGCAACACCCAGGCTCTGAGTTAAATGCATCTTCAATCTGCATCTCCAAAAAAACTACAGAGGAACATTCTGAAGAATAACGTAATGCAGCACAGTAACTTGTACCAAGGTCTTTTCATCCCCAGAACGCTTTGCCTCACCAGGATCATCATCTTCCCTTGCCTCCAGTTTTGACCCTCTGTCTTTGAGTTCACTCACACCTGGTTCCCCAAAGTAACTTGTCCTCTTCTCACAGCTGGATGAGAGTTGAGAGCTCTCCAATAACTACAAAGGTACAGCCAGAAATTTTTACCCCCAATGTAAGCCCAGTTTTTCTGGGTAGGTCTGCCTTTCTGACCTGGAGTCACAAAATTATCATTCGATAATAGTTCCTCAAACTTCTGACATGGCTTGGCACTTCCCAGTGTGTGAGTTTTGTCTGGAGCCTTCCTGTACATTGACAGACTACAGAAAACGCAACATAGCTCTGCATGGCCTGACAAATTCATTCCAGATTGCCATCAACGTCCTTATGTTGGACTCTGTCCAAACGACTGAACATTCATGCTCACCATCTGAGATGGATCATCAGTGATCCAAGAGAAGCAGAGGCTGACAATCAGGTATGTGCCATGGCTACCACCAGGCTATGGATACACCAGCATGGCTTTTTCCCGTTACATATATAAACATAGGGACCCTCGCTCTATCAGCTGCATAGCATAAAGCACAGAGAATGCAGGGGGACAAGGCACTACACCTAAGGTATCACACTCTATGGGACTGCCAGTCACAGGGAGAACCGGGAGGAAAGACGACTAGCTAAAATGGCTTAGCTCAATGATTCTCAAAGCAGGTCTGCTGCTTGTTCAGGGAAAGCACCTGGTGGGCCGAGCCAGTTTGTTTACCTGCTGCATCCGCAGCTTCGGCCGATCGTGGCGCCCACTGGCCTCGGTTCGCCGCTCCAGGCCAATGGGCGCTGCGGGAAGCAGTGCGGGCCGAGGGATGTGCTGTCTGCCCTTCCCGCAGCCCCCATTGGCCTGGAGCGGCAAACCGCGGCCACTGGGAGCCACGATCGGCCGAACCTGCGGATGCGGCAGGTAAACAAACTGGCCTGGCTCACCGGGGGCTTTCCCTGAACAAGCGGCAGACCAGCTTTGAGAACCACTGGCTTAGCTGACACACGTCTGATTTGCTGTCTGTGTAGACTAGAGATAACTGTTACATCCACAACTATTGTCAAGACTAGGTCCCAAGAAAAACTCCAAGTCAGTTCTACAGCGTATTTCAAACACTGCTTGTAAATGTAATGTATATGGAGGCAAACAAAGTTTCAAGTGGAAATATGTTCTAGACTGGTTGACAGTATATTTGGCACCACCCAGGTATACCATAAATCTCAGGTTCAGGATTTTCTGAATCCTCTGTCATTTTAATTTCACTCGTTTCTTTTAGACACAAAGATACTAAAAAATTACAAATTGCCGATTAAACTCCAAATTGCAGCCAATAATACAATTAAAATATGGCTTTCTGAGGCAAAAGGATTTTACCAGCTACTTTGCCTGTCAACGTAAGCCACATGATAAATACCACTTGCAACTATTTGAATGTTTAAGGTACATTTAATTCATTTTTAGTATTAATATATCTGTGGGTAGTGGTTAAGGCCCAGTCAGCAGGCTACTAAAGCACGTGAAGCCTGTGGGATTACTCAT